TTGTTGCCGTTTTTTTTTTTTTTTTTTTTTTTTTTTGCCCTTAATTAGTCTTTGAACGGGTCGAGTATTTTCGTAAATCATCAGATAATGTACCTGGTTCTCTTACAATTGCAAATTGGGAAAAAAAAAAGCACGATGTAAAGGACAGAGAGAGGAGAGAGAGGAGGGTATACTCCTTTCCTCTTATTGTTTTTTTTTTAGCAGAAAACAAACAAAAAGCAAAAGAAGCGTTATCCCAACTCCGCCACAAATGTGTACGTCGCAGCGGCGGGTGGCGGAGTGGATAAAGTCAATTTTACGAGTAAATGAATTTGTGCAATGATACCAACTCAATACATTTCTCCTTCTGCGATCTCGTCGTCCTCGTTCTCCGCCGCCGCCTTCTCCTCTTCTTTCACGTCTTCCTCCTCTTGCTCTTTCCCTCCTCCTCGTCCTCCTCGTCCTCCTCTTCCTCCTCCTTTCACGTCTTCCTCCTCTTCCTCTTTCTCCTCTTCCTCCTTTCCCTCCCTTCCTGCTTTCATCTCTACTTTTTCTGCTCCTCATCCCGGCGTGTCCCCTTCTTCTTCTTCTTCTTCTCCTGCTTGCGCTTCTCCTTCTCCTTCTTCTTCTTCCCAATTTTCTTCTTCTTCTTCTTCTTCTTCTTCTTCTTCTTCTTCGTCTTCTTGCGCTTCTCGTTCTCCTTCCCAATTTTCTTCTTCTTTTTCTTCTTCTTCTTCTTCTTCTTCTTCTCGGGAAGGAAAAGAGCAGAATCTATGGATGCGTTTTTTTTTTTTTTTTTAATAATTAATGGGTATTATGTAAGATGAGCGAGTGCCTATCGGTAGTCGGGAGGACTCGCCATCCCGATGGATCACGGATCAGATATGACGCTGATCAGAACAGATACAGTGCACTTGGTCTTTAGCCCAAAGGCCGAGAAAACATTTAGTCTGCATGTGGACGGGGTTCACATGTGCATTCACTTTTGTGCATAATGCATGTGAGCCTGTGTGTCCAGTTGTGTTTTTCAACCTTTTTTTTCTTTTTTTTTTTGCTAAATGCGACACTCGTGCATTGAGTATGATTAGGAGAAAAAAAAGAAAAAGTATGATTAGGAAGGAAAAAAAAAAAGTATGATTAAAAAAAAAAAGAAAGTACCCACGAGCTTAGCTCGGTTGGTACACCCGTCAATTGTTGAAATGCAGACCTGATTCTTCTTTACAAAATAAATAGATAAAAAAAATATAAAAAAAAATAAAAGAATGCAGACGTGAGTTTGAATCCAAATGAACGAGAAAGAAAAAATAAGAGTACCGTCGAGCTTAGCTCAGGCGGTGCCTCGGGCGCTGGACGCACATTTTTTTTTTAAAGGGGAAGAGGGGAAAAAAAAAAAAACACGGAAAAGATATGGCGGTGTAAATTTCCATGTTCTAGCAGTAGATTCTTTCTCATTTTGCACATTTGGTGAGTAGTCGAGCGAGCGAGGCCCAATCCCTGCTTGCTGTCTTTCTTTCTTTTTTTTTTTCTTTTTTTTTTCCTTTTTTTTTTGGCAACTGGTGTTATGGCTAAGATCAAGTGTAGTATCTGTTCTGATCAGTTTAATATCTGATCCGTGGTCCATCGGACCACAGAGAAAAAAGAAAAAAAAAGAAAAATCTGCGGGGGGAAAGGGAAAAAAAAAAAAAAAAAAACAGTTACTGCCGATTTAGGTCAGTAAACAATACTCTGTTGTACTTTCAGATTTTTTAGGGTTAGGAATTTTTCCTGTTTCACACCTGGGCCGTGGTCCCACTAGCGAAGGGGATAGGATAGAAATCCTGAATCTGGCTATGTTTTATGCAGAGATACAGAAAAGCAGTTCTATCTCGATTTCCTGCTCCTGTCCTCAAACACTTCCAGATTCAGGCATTCAATCTGATGCTCTTTGTTAATGGGACCACGGCCCTGTTTTTCATCTTTTCGATTTTGACTTGTCAGAATTTTCGGTTCCTTTTTCACAGGGGCGAGGTCGCACTAGCAAAGAGGATTGGATAAATGCCCTGAATTAAGCAGAGATGCAGAAAAGCAGAGTTCAATCTCGATTTTGTGCACCTTTCCACAGAAAGAGTCCAGATTCAGGCTTTCTATCCAATCCTCTTTGCAAGTGGGACCTTGCCCCAGGCGACGGGCTCCGCTTGCTGGATGCAGCCGGAGGCCTTGTGACCCCTGATTTTTTTTATTTTTTTATTTTTTTTATTTTTAATTAAATTGATCAGAGCAGATACTACACTTGATCTTAGCCAAAAGGCCGAGAAAGGTATTGACCCCTGAATTTGAAATTTGTGCTCAATAGTATTTTTGCCTTGGGCACTGGGCCCTGATAATAAAGGGAATCTTACTTTAAAATTTAAGGGGGGGGGGGGGGGGKCATGWTTTTGCCTTTTTTTTTCCTTCTCATAGGAGAGGCCTGCAGCATATGCAAGTAGAGTAAGAGTCGCCCCTATAGAACATGTAGGGTCATTACCCCTGCATCTAGTCTGAAAATTGCCCTAAATACTGCTTTTTTTTTTCTTTTTTTTTTTGGGAACTAAGCTCCGATCTATTGGTGGGGAGCAGCACGTGCTGGGAACTGCGTCCCATATGGAAAATAACATCGAATTTAGAAAATTTAAGATACCGGGGCCATTACCCGGCTTTGGCTAAGAGGAAGTTGGACCTACTTAGGATTGGACAAACTTCAGAATTGGACAAAATTCAGAGACCAACTCAGAAGCCCCCCATCAATCCTCTTACCTCACTCCGGCAAGACTTACGGCAACAGAGCCACCATCTCTGTTGCTGCCGTACCCTATTTCCATCCTACCAGCTAGCCCTCGCACTAGTACGATGCTTGATATCCCACCATCTACTTCTCCCACTCACCTAAAAGACTCAGACCCCCCAAGCCATCCCCTGTACCCCACTCTGGGGAGGCTTACTGCAGCAGAGCCACCATCTCCGGTGCTGCTGTGCCCTATTCCCGTCCTACCAGCTAGCCCCCTTGCTAGTAGAACATGTAATATCTCACCTTCTCCTTCTCCCACTCACCTCGGTCTCTTGAGAACACATCTAAGCAATACAGAAAAGATAGGAATAGACCTCATCGGTCCTACAAATGCTCAAAAACCCTTGAAATCCCTAACAAACCCTTCCAAAGCACTCCAACACTGTCCTACTCCCTGACGAGCTCTTCCAGGTCTCACACCGCCACATCCTGCTGGGTTACAGGGCAACACAACTCACCCCAGCTCCGACCAGCGTCGTCCCAGCAGCAACCCTTAGTTGTCCCGTGGAATGCCCACCCCAAAGCATCCCCAGATCTCTTTACCAGGCCTCACACTCCTGTGTCCGCAGGTCACAGGGCAACACCCCAGCACCGGCCAGCGTCGCTCTGGCATCGAACAGCCACAGGTCACTGAGTATAACAGCATCGAAGCCACCTAAGAAGAGTTGCTAGGAATCCCAAGAGTCTAAAAACATTCTTACGACCATCAATCAGCCATCCGCGTATGATCAACCCTGAGATCTATTTTTTGAGATTTTTTTTTTTTAGTCAGCCCTCCTCCCATTCCCTTTCACCCCCTACTCTTCTTCATCTCCCGACGAGCCGACCTCCTCCACCACATAGTTTGGGAGAGAAGAACAATAGACCAACGACCTCACCAAAATCCCCTAGCGATGAAAAGCAGACTTCAATTCTTCCTCTTCCTACGACAGGCCGACCTCCTCCACCACATAGTTCGAAGGAGGAGGAAAAAGTAGTTCGCTCCATCGCAAAACAGGCGCAACCCTACCCCCTCCACTTCAGTCCCACGCCTGTTCCATAGGCAGGTAAAAGACAACTGATCCCCTCCTTCACTCTTCCTAGACCTCCTTATTCAACTGCATCCCGCGACAAGCTGACCTCCTCCACCCATAGCTCGCGAAATGAAGAAAAGTGAAGGCAGACAACCCTCGACTTCCTCTTGCGACAAACCGACCTCCTCCACCACATAGTTTGCAGAAGAAAAACGAAAGTGATCCACCATCTGAAACTTGCCAACCCTACCCAAACCTCAGATACTGATCAGATCCTTCGCCTGCCTACCCTAAACCAAAACTGACGCATGAGAGGTAAACTTCATGCAATCCGAATTTAACACCGAGTTAGAGTCACTATTGAGAATCAAGAGATTAGAATTCGAATTCTGATTTATGAGTATCAGTATCAAGAGACTGAAGAATAGAAAAAACAGAATACGAAGTGTTTCGATTTTCAACATCAGTTCAGAATTGAGTGATCGTTCATATTGAGATCAGAGCAAAGCTCTGATTTACGAATTTCCGATTAGGCATCTTACTCAGAAATTACGAATTGAAACTC